CACAAAAGGCACTTACCCAGTAGACATGGGAATTCTGGGCCTCCTGTCAAGAGAAACAAAAGACTTTAGCAGCTGTTCTTGGACACGTGGTGCCAAAAACCTCTTCAGCTGTGGGCACAGCACCAGCACAGGGGCTCTCACTCCGTGCCAGGGTGACGCAGACAACTCACATGAGCACAGACAGCTGCTCTGTGAGGCCTTCCATCAGCAGAGCCTGGCACTGGCTCTGCTCTACAGTAATCATGGGGTGGGAGATTTGCAAGGATCTCGTGATAACCCCCAGCGTTCATCTCCATGTTAATAACACACTTTCTGCAGATCTAGAAACATCCCTTTCCTTGCCTTTGGGCACCTGCTTTTCTGATAAGCATCAGCTGGACTCCACAAAAGCTGCAAATCCACACCATAATGTACAGCTGCCACAGCTCAGGCTCCCCAGCAGCCGTGCTCAGAAATCACAAACCTCTGCGGGAATTCCCAGCTCTCCCACGCAGGAGTTTGTTGGAGCTGCATTATTTTGGATGGTCCACATGAAGTTCTGTGCTATAAAGAGCACACGGTTATCAGCTAAATCTAGAAGGCTTTAGCCAAACCCTCTAAGCCAAACTAGAGGCAGGAAACAGGCAGGCAACCACAGCCCATCAATGGGCAGGATAACAGATGTGTCTGTTGTTACAGAGCAGATGGCCCCAGTGTCACCTCACGTGACTGAGGCACTAACAGAGACAGTTCAAAAGCCTTCCCAAATATCTTGGTAGCACTGTTGTGCAGAACATTACAGGTTATTTCTCATCCTACTGATAGCCAGAAAAAGCCAATATGCAGGAGCTGTTCTCCAAAAATACACGACAAAACAGTTTCATGTTTATACCCATGAGAATGAAATGGCAACTGTGGTTAAATGTCACTTCTCCAGTAAGCAGAAGGTACCTTCAGGCAGCAAACCAGTCTTAGAAAAACAAGCCAGTGAAGCAAATGGCAGAATTACCAGAGCAGCACAGACTTACCCTCATGCCCATGTAGAAGGGGATGACAGTGACACGGATGTTCTCCGTGGTTTCTCGGTGCACATCCGAGAGCTCCAGCCAGGGGTGGTTCTTCTCCTGCCAGGCACACAGAGTGTCCCTTGCTACAAAAGGTGGGACTGTGGGGAGGGAAAGGTGAAAGGCAACATTGTAGCTGGAGTGCTCTCCCCTCAACACAATTCCTTTTACATGGTTAATAAAAATATTCAAAGGCAGCTTCACTGTAAGAAACTCCAAGCTAGACATGATTTTTATACCATATTCAAGGTGATGGGGTTTGGGTATTTCTTATAGAGCACTGCAAGCATCCGGCTCTGAAGAATTCCCTGTGAAGCCAGAACTCACCTTTTGTTTGGTCGTACATGAGGAACCTCTCAAAGAGCTCATGCTGGATGGGCACTTGATCAGTGGAGCTGTAGGGAAGGATGTCTTCATGGCTTACATAGTCTAAACCTGAAAAAGAAACCCCAAAAGCCATGGAATTTCCCCATCAAAGAGCTGCTCAGAAGTCTCCTAGCAGAAAAATTGATCACACTAGTAAGAAAAAAGGACTTTGGCAGCAGAAGGCAATATTAATATCACAACTGCAAGGAAGAATGGAGGAGACGTGCCAGGAGACTCTTGGCAGTGTTCTCCTGTGAGATTTTTCATGGAATGACTCCTCTGATAAACATACACTGCCCTGCAAAGTGCCTGCACTGCCCCAAAAGCACTCTGGGCAGGAAATGCCCAGGACACGAATAAATCCAGCAGCCCTGCTGACAAAGTAGAACAGCCAATATACAACTTGGTATGGGATCCATGTCTCAAGAGCTCAAATCAGACATGGCTGTGTCTGATCACAGAGGGCCCAACTTCCACCTATCCAAAGGGCTTCCTGTACTTTAGTCACTCTGTTGTCTCCAGCACAGCCCTAAGCTATGGACAGATCCACTACAGAATGTCCTGTAGGAATTGCTGTTTCAATGGCGGGAGTTGACCACTGATACCTTTTCTGACCTGCCCTCACAACAAGCAGAGGCTGCAGGAGGATTTTACTCACCTGGGATAGCATAGAGGGCTCTGCTGTCATCATGATTTGCCAGGAACGTCACTGCCTCTGTCTGTGATCTCTGCGACTGAGAAACATGGAGATATGTCTTTCTGAATGCATTGTTGGAGGACAGTTTCCAGTCATATTTCAGCTCATTAGTGTGATTTATAAAGCATGTAACGCTTATTTCATTTAACCAGTTCACCTCAGAACTCTCAGTTTAATTCCTCTGGGTTAACTCCCCACTCAAACAAGCAATTGTCAGCATTGTCAGTGCTGCAGCCCACATTCCTAATGACCTGTGTGCAACAGTGTAGTAACAGCAGCAGGAAGAGGAAAGGAGGTTGGAAAGGGGAAACATGATCCAGAAAAGTCGTATGACATTCCAAGTGATCTTTCTCAGGGAAAATATGCCTTTATTTGTCCAAAAATCCTAACCAATCCGGTCAGCCACCAAAATAATTTTCCTTCACTGCCTGTCCCTTTGAACCACTCATGTAGGAGAAGATACTCAAGTTTCAATACCAAGATTACTTATTACTTACTATATGTGGACAATCCCGGGCATCTATTAACACCTGGTAGTAAGTGTGTGTTTTACCCTTGACCTCTTTGGAACCATGGCCTGCCACATTCTCGCTCCTGAAGAGAAAAGCAAAGCTCTGAGCTCAAGCACAGGATGGCAGCAAATTCCTGTTACCAGGATGAAGCACTTATAAACAATTTTTTTTTTAAAGCCCCATTTTGCAGCCTGTAATCATTTGGTTGCACCCAAACCAAAGCCCCATGAGCCAACCACACGATGACAGATGAGCTGAGATGACCACCAGTGGTGTTTGGCACAGGCACAACAGCTCAGAAGCTTTTCCTGCTCAGTGTAGGCTCCTGTCTGGGGTGGATATTCCTGCTGCCCTCTGATTTTCTCTCTGACCCTTACTCGTTCCCAGCACAACTCATCACAAGCCAGGGGAAAAATGGATGCAACAGAGGGAGAGAACTGAAGAGCAACTCAAGAAGCATGAAATTGGTTTAGTGGGTTGAAATTGAGGAGGAAGCTGACAAATCCAACTCACTGGCAATCTACAGCAGCCTCCAACTGGTAACACAGGAGCCTGGATCTAACTCAAAAAAGGTCTTTTTGTATAATACAAATGCCATGAGCATAATTTTTTAATTTATTTTTATTTCCTCCATACATACGCTTTTATCCTTCATACGTCCATCATGTCTCTAATTAATGCTCAATACTTAATAATGAAATATCTCCTCTTCAAGCACCTCTCCTAGTTTATACTCATACCAACAGACCCATGCCATTGCTCCTCCTTAAAAACACTTGTTTACCCCAAGTAGGAAACTCACTACAAAATGTAAATCTAACAGTCCAACAACATGAACCAGAACAAATCCTCAAGTCCTTACTTTTCTGTGACAGGAGAAGCCACATCCCGATCATAAAGCCTGGCTTGCCAGGGAAACAGGACTATTCCTCGATAGCCAAACACACTATGAAGGAAGAGCTGGAAGGAACAAATAATTGCAGCTGAATTATTTTAAAAATCTATTATCTGAGGTAAAGCTACAAACATTTACAAAAGGTTTAATGTGTGGGATGGGGATACAGGAGAATCACCACTGTGATGACCCAGAGCAGAAAGAGAACACAAACAGTTTGGGATGAGAGAAGTAATCCATGTCATCTCTATCCCACAAAAGGGAAGAACTAAATAGTAATGCAGTAATAGAGCAGCAGAAAGGAGAGACTGCTCAGAAACAGATCTGAGTGTCTTAAGGACAAGAATTACAAGTTTATTTCTCCAATTCATTGATGGTCTCTGGATCCTTGAGGGAGAAAACCCCAAAGTAAGACCAGTGGAGCAAATGCCATTGTACAACAGTTGTGTTGTGCTGCAGATTCTTATCAAGCTGCTATTGTCAGATGACTGACAAACTGCAGACACAGCACAGACAAGGAGCACCGAACTGTGAAACTCCCAGCCTTGTTCTGCTGAGATTTTCCTTAGGGGAATTCCCTCAGCTGCCCAATCCCTGTGGCACGAGCCTGCAGGGTCAGCTGTGCGCCCCAGAACCCCTTACCTGGCCTGTCTCGTATTTGCCGTGCTGCTTCGGAGCCTCAAACACCCCCACGGTCTCCAGCACTTTGCCCTCGGGACGGTTCCTGGGAGTAGCGAGGCAGCTTGGAGGGTTTGCAGGGGCTGAAGCAGCCCCCAGACCAGGGGGACACTGCTCCCCACCTTGTGCGTCCCATGGGTACCCCACAAGAGCCCCCACTATGCATTGTGATGCCCAGTCCCACTCCCTCCTCTACCTTCCACCCTTTGCCCAATGCCCTGGACACCCTCACTCAGTTGTCCCTTTAGCCCAATCCCCCCTCTCCCACATCCCTGCCCTGACAGCCCCCCACCTCTTCCACAGTCTTCCCACAATGCCTCAATAGACTTCAACCCACAACCCAACTCCTCCCCAATGTTCCCCAGCTCCCCTCACCCCAAACACCCCCTCCTAATCACCCTCAAACACCCCCTCACCTCCTGTCTCCCCGAACTCCCCACCCCACTGCCCTCACCCCAACCCCTCACAGGCCTCACCGCGACGAGAGGTGCCGCCTCGGCGGCACCAGCAGCGGCAGCGCCGCCGCCCCCCCTGTGCCCAGAGCCCTCAAGTGGCGGGCGGGGGGCGGCTCCCAGAGCGGAGGCGGCCCGCGGGCCCGAGCCCGGCCCAGCGCCGCCGCCACGTACCGCCGCGCCGCGCCGCCCGACATCCCACCGCCCGCGGCCCACAGTGCCCCGCGCGGCCCGCGCCGCTCCGCCCCGCCCCGCCCGCCGAGCGCGCCGCTCCGCCCCGCCGCGCCCCGCCGTCTCTATGGTTCCTCCCCCCCTCCCAATCTCCCGGTCGCCCCGGCAACGCCGGCCGGGCCCAACATGGCGTCGTCGGTGCGGGCCGGGCCGCGGCTGCGGCGAGCTGTGCGGGCCGGCGAGTTAGCGGCTCTGCCCGCCGGGCTGAGGGATGAGTTGGGGGCGGCGCTGGCGGAGGAAGGAGGGCTGGTGCCGTTCAGCCTGCTGCGGAGGCTGCACACCGCGCTGCGGGAGGCAGGTAGGCCGCGCTGCGCCGGGCCGCCGCGATCGTGCCGTGATCGTGCCGTGATCGTGCCGTGATCGCCCCGTGCCCCGCCCGCAGGATCTCCGCTGCACCTACACGAGCTGCTGGAAGGATGCGAGATCCACCTGCCCGAGGTGCCGGTGCCGCCGCGGGTGAGTGAGGGCCGGCCGGGAGTCGCGGGAGGAGGCGGCGGCTCCCGGCCCTCACGGTGGGTCTGTGCCTCCCCCAGAACCCCGAGCTGGTGGCCCGGCTGGAGCGGATCAAGGCCAAGCTGGCACACGACGAATACCGGCGGATGACCCGCAACATCACCGGCCAGGTGAGGGGCTGCTGCACTGTTCGAGGATTCATTCCTCAAACACCTGAGAGCAAAGATTTTCCCTTTACAGTAAGTGCAGAGCAGAGGGGATGTGGCAGGCACCGGTGGAGAGCACACTGTAAACACACCGGGAACAACAGATCCGGTGTTGAGGACAGAGGTAGGACAGGGTTAATTAGACATACTGACTTTTGGGAACTGCTCCCTGTGCCAAAGATGTCAGGTCCTGTTCTGGGAGACTGAGCACATGCTATAAATGTTTGACCGGGAGCATCTGTGCTGGTTAAATTTTTGTCATAGTTTTAAAATTGCCTCATTCATGTCAAGGTAAAAGCTGAAAATACAAGATCATATGTGGGCACTCATTCTTTCCTGAGAGAGCTGAGATCTTGTGGCAGGGTGACTGTTCAGACAAGCCAGCATCCCGTCCTGCTGGCATTCCTTGTGATCCCATTCTGCCCTTCCACACTGTACCTGGCATCCATGTGCACATTAATTCTCATGGGAAGATCTGCTCTGCTCTCTGCCAAGCTGGACCACTCCAGGTTTGACCTGGTTTAATGAAAGCTCTCCTTGCTTATGGCAGGAGCTAGAACAAGATGGTCATTAAGGTCCACTTCCAAGCCAAACCATCCTGTCATCTATAATCCAGGGTTATTTTAGCAGAATTTGTGCAAAATCTCAGAGAAACGTATGTGCTGTGAAGCTGCTGTTCCCCCACAGCCCATCCACCCAAAACGTCAGAGTCTTTGGGTCAGGTGAGGGCATTGGCATTGCTTTTATTCTGCACACACAGTAATAACGTTACTATTAACATTAAAATACAAGTGATCACAAGCTGTTTTAATTCCTTATTTCAGGAGATGAACGGGCCATTGGCTGAATTTGGGAGGCAAGGTGAGTGGCTCCCTGTCCTGTTGACATGTGGCAGGTCAGGCATGGGAACTGTTCCATCTCCAGCTGGTGACAGTCCTTCCCTCTTGGAATATCTCACCAGAAAGTTTTCATGCACTGAAGTGTTCCTTGAATAAAGGAGCCTGTTGGTCATTCTTACCAATATTTCTGGAGGCACCAAGCATGTGACTCCTCCAGGATCACATCTCCCAGCTGAGGCAGCATGATTACACCTTGTCACCAGCCCTACTTCCCAGCCTTACCTAAAATCAACTACTTTACCCCTCTGTCCCCCAGTTCGCTCCGTGAAGGCCGTTGTCATCACCATCTTCAACTTCATTGTCACCGTGGTGGCTGCCTTTGCCTGCACCTACCTGGGCAGCCAGTACGTCTTTGCAGAGACAGCAGCGGTGAGCGAGCCCAGCCCCTGGCAGCCCCCCTGTGCTGGCCAGGCCGGACACTCAGGGTCACCTCTCTCTCTTTTGTGTCCCCAGCGTGTCCTGTCTGCTGTCATTGTGGCTTCGGTGGTGGGCTTGGCCGAGCTGTACGTGATGGTGCGGACCATTGAGGGGGACCTGGGGAAACTATGACCATGAACTGCAGGCTTCGTGCTGGAGGTTTTTGTCCTCCTCAGGAGCTGCTAATTTGGGACAAATCTTGTCCTATCTGTACCTGTTCCTGCTGTGGGAACACTGCTACACTCCTCAGGCTCATCCTTTGCTTCCCGCTCCTGAAATGAATCATGGGTTGGAAATCCCAGAGCTGCAGAACAGGAGAGGGAATGGCTGTGGACTCTGACCACCCCAGCAGGGAGAGAGGCATCAGCTCCTGCCATCCCTGTTCTCCTGGGAAGTTCCTGGTCTTTTATTCTGGAAATAAATGACACTGTGTGTTCATAACTTTCTTCCTGCACATCAGGAGATGTCTGTTGATATGAGAAACATTGATGTGGCATCTTAAGACACCGCAGAGATGTGAATCTTCCCTCTCCCTCTGCATCCTGCTCCATCTCCTGTCCAAACCTTCCTCTGCCTGCAGTGAGGAATGCACAGTGCTCCCAACGCCCTGCCAAAGGGTCCCCAGATTCTGGAGGCAGAGAGAAAATACCCCTCAACACTGAGCCCAGGAGTGTCTCAGGTGCCGTGGGGCAGAGAGCGGAGCCAGCTCGGTGCACCCACAGCAGGGAGGGGACAGCCACGCCAGGCCCTGGGGACCTGGACACCTGCCGGGTGGGCGCTCTGCCAGGGCCAGACACAGTGATTAATGCTCTGATGGCAGCTAAGCCCCTCTGGAAACACGGTTTAATATCCGATCCAGGGAGATCTGCCGGCACCTGCGAACGTGCCTGCGGATTAGGGGCGGCCGCGCCACAATCATCCGTGGATACGGCCTCAGATTAAGGTATTTTTCCAAAAGATTAGTCGGTATTAGGGACCTGATGGGGAGGTGCCCCTGCTGTGGCCGCACCGGCATTTAGGATATTGGATGACATCCTCGGAGCCTTTGGGACCGGCAGTAATTCCACACCCTAATGAAATCCTGGCGCTAATCCGGGGGGGGCCGTGGTGCCAGGAGGGTCCCTTAGAAGCCAGGGGTCCTAGCCACGGCTATGGCTCGCCCAGGTTGGTGATGGCCGCACTGTAGATGAGATCGGAGATGGAGCCCAGCGAGGTGGGGAGGCCCCGAGCAGGGCTGTGGGATCCCGGCGGCGGCAGGGCAGGGGCCGGGCACGGGGTGCTGCCGTCGGGAGGTGCCGCGGGGGTACCCCGCTCCCCGGGCGGTGGCAGCGGCGGTAGCGGCGGCGGCTCCGGCTTGGTGCTACGGATCCTGCGGGCGCGGCGATTCTGGAACCAGACCTGGGACGGGCGAGGGGAACTGTGAGACACCGACAGCGCCCCTACACGGTGGCCCCGCGGAAGAGGGGGATCCCGAGGAGGGAAAGAGGAAGGGATGGAGGGGACGGTCCCGCCTGCGCTCACCTGGATCTTGGCCTCCGGCAGCTGGGTGAGCTCGGCCAGGCGCTCCCGGGTGGCGATGTCCGGGTAGGGCACGGCGGCGAAGGCCCGCTCCAGCTCTGATAGCTGCCCCCGGCTGAACGTGGTCCGCCGCCGCTTCCGCGGCCCTCCCGGGCAGGGACAGGGACAGGGGCACGGCCCCGGGGCGCCGCCCCTGCCCGCCGCCCGCCCGCCGCCCGGCCCGCCCGGCCCGTCGGGGAAGCGGAGCAGCGGCTGGGGAGCGTGGGAGGTGCCCGGGGCCGCGCTCATCTTGCCCGACTCCCCCCGGCCCGCTGCCGCCCTGGCTTTTATCCTCCCTGGGTCCCCCCCGGCGGGCTGGGACCGCCCCGAGCGGGCGGTGCTGTCCCCCCCTCCCCAGCCCTTCTCAGGGGTTCCCGGAGCCGGTCTCAGCTCCGCGCCCCCGATGGCAGAGCCCCGACAGTCCCGACTGATTCTCCAGCATCCCTGGGGACCAGTAACCCCACCAGCTGCTCGTACAGATCTGCCCCGCGCCGCCGTCGGGGCACGGTGGGGCCCGTGAGAATCCCAGGGCTCGGAGACCCACCTGCCACCCGCCCCTTGTGCCCCCTCCCTGGCTCCCCGCCCTCCCCCGCTCGCCCCCGCTATGCGACCGCCGCTCTCCCGCAGGGCTGGCACCGGTCAATGTTTAACCGGAGCGGTGGTACCGGTTGTGTGGGCAGCGGGGGCCGGCTGGGGGTGGCTCCCGCCGGGACCGGCCAGGAGCTGCGGGCACCCCGAGCAGAGGGTGCTGGGGGGCGCATGGAACCAGAGGGGGAGAGGGGCGGGGACCCCCAGCCGGACCCCCGGCCCAGAACCCTCCCACGGGGCCAGGAGAGACCGTAAGTTGTCGGGGAGACGGCGGAGACAGAGGCCATCCCGTCCTGGAGCAGCAGGACTTGGGCAGTGACTGCCCGACTGATACAGGCCGCGGGGGGTGGCACCCCAAAAAGGCTGGGGGGGACAGGACCATCCTGCGGCGACGTGGCGGGGATAGTGAGCTCTGTCCCCTGCCATGCCTCAGGGCACAGTGGAGGTGGGAGGACGGTGCGAGCACAGCATGACCGAGGGTCCCTCTACCCCAGCCCCCGGGGTGCCCGCGGGCGGACCCCCCCAGCAAGGGGGCACCCGCCACCCTGCTGCCCTCTGTTCCCCAAAGGAGTCCTGGAGAGGAGCGGGAGCGCCCCGTGGAGGGCAGAGAGACGCGTCTGAGAGTGGTGCTAAGGTAAGGGGAGACGAAAGGGCTCAGGGACGCCACAGAAACCTTCCTGCCTGGGGCGAGGTCACAGCAGGGCTCTCCAGGGTCCCCATGCAGCGACACCTCTGTGTCCCCGTCCACACCCCACCATTAGGGTCCGGCCACTGACCTGTACGGAGACGCGGCGAGGTGACCAGCAAGTTGTGCACAGCCTCGGTGACGGTGCCGTCCACGTAAGTGCCACCTCCCCGTCGGGTTGTCGGGGCTGGGGAGGGCTGCGGATCCCCTTGAGCCGCCGCTGTCCCCACGGCCAGGTAAGCGCGGCCAGGCACGATGCCACCTTTGGCTTCAGCGCCGTGTTCGACGCCGGCGCCTCGCAGGAGGCTGTGTTCGAGGGCAGCGGGATGAGACAACTGGTGGAGCTGGCCATGGATGGGTGAGTCCCGCGGTCCTCAACCCTCCATCCACCCCACGTCGGGCCTTTCCGGCGCGTTTGCACTGCCAGGGCTGTGTCGGGAGGTGGCATCGCTGTGCCACCGCCTGCGGCCGTGCCTGATGCTCAGCATCTTCCACAGCTTCTCCTGCACCGTCTTTGCCTTCGGGCAGACCGGCTCGGGGAAGACTTACACCCTGATGGGACCCCTCGCCCAGGTACGACGCTGATCATCTGACCTCATCCTGGTCGTGGGATGAGCTCTTCCCACCCAGTCATGGGCTCTGGGAGCGGGCGGGTGCCCGATGTGACCGCTCAGCATCTTGGCATCTCTGCAGAGCGAGGCCCAGCCGGCATCCCCGGCCCTGCTGGGGCTAATGCAGAGGTCCTTCACCTGCCTCCTGGAGGAGAGCCGGAGCCGTGGCTCTGACCTGGCTCTCAGTGCTTCCTACCTGGAGATCTACAACGAACAGGTAAGTGCCTGCCCAGCCACCCACTCCAGCCTTGCTGGCCTCCTTTGCTCCGCTCTCCCGGTGCCTTCCCTCTGCCATATCCCCAGGTCCGGGACCTGCTGAGCCCGGGGCCGCCGTGCGCCCTGCCCCTGCGCTGGAGCAAAACCCGCGGCTTCTACGTGGAGAACCAGCTCAGTGTGGAATTCGAGAGCCTAGAGGCCATTGTCAGCTTGCTCATGCAAGGTGCCGAGCCACAGGCACAAGCACAGGGCTGGGACATGTTCAGGGCGTGCTAGACCCCATATGGGGGGATTCAGTCCCGGGCTGGTGGCGCTCTGATGGCAGCCATGAGGAGCAGCTCCTCGTTCTGCTGCAGAGCCAAGGCAGGCTCGTGTCTGGCAGGGGGTGGTGGGCAGTGGATGCTGTGGGGTTGGGGCAGGGATGTGGGGTGTCGTGCGATCAATTTCTCCCCTGGCAGGATCCCAGAGGCGCCGGACCTCGGCACATGCCCTCAACAGGCACTCGAGCCGCAGCCACGCCCTTCTGACCATCCACATCCTCCGCCGAGCCGTGAGCGCGCATCCTGCTCCTGGGGCGGGCTGGGGGACCAGGGCTCAGCACAGGGGTGCAAACAATCCCATGGGGTGGAGGGGTCATGCTCTCCTCAAGGATACACGGATGGGGATGGAGTAAGCAGCCAGGAATCCTATCCAAGATCCAGAAGTGCTGTGGAACATGGGGAAGGGGTGATGGGGGCCAAAGCATCACCCCCCAACGTTGGTTCTCCAGACCAGCGCCTGCCCCAGCAAGCAGGGCACGCTGTGCTTTGTGGACCTGGCTGGCAGCGAGCGGGTGAAGGAGACCGGCTCCAGCGGGGAGCTCTCCGTGGAGGCCAACAGCATCAACCGCAGCCTCCTGGCGCTGGGTAAGAGCAGGGGACACGCCCTGGGAGTGTCCTGCTGACCCCCACCAGAGTCCTGTCACATCCTTGTGGCTCATCCTCCGACAGGACACTGCATCTCCCTGTTGGCCAAACCCCGAGGGAAGCGAACGCACATCCCCTACCGGGACAGCAAGCTCACCCGGCTGCTGGCTCGCTCCCTGGGCGGCTCGGGCATCACCCTGATGGTAAAACCATGGAGGAGGCTGGGCAGAGGTCTCACCCGGTTGAGGGGAGGGCTGGAAAAGGATGATGACTCTGGATGGCAGCCCACCTGCATCTCTTCCTTGTTGGCAGGTCGCCTGCATCTCCCCGTCCTCTCGCTGCCTCTCAGAGACTCTGAGCACGCTGCACTACGCCAGCCGTGCCCGGAGGGTCACCACCAGACCCCTGGCCAACAGGGTATCGCAGACAAGGATCTCCTCTGAGCTCCTCTACCTGCTGCTGGGACCCCCCTGACTCACCCCTTTATCCACCCACCCCTCCCAGGTGTCCCGGGAGAAGCTGCTGCAAACCTTGGAGCAAGAAATCCATGCTCTGCAGCTGGAAAACCTCTCCCTGCGCCAGCAGCTGTGCCTGCCCAGAATGCCAGTGAGGAGCACGGAGGTCAAAGGGAGCCCTCCAAAAGCATGGGCGTGCTCAGGGGACAGGTACGGTCCTGCAGGGCAGCTCCCGCCAGAGCGAACCCCAGCCTGGCCCAGCCTCTATGGTCTCCTGCGGGACTTCGTGGTGGAGAACGAACAGATGAGGTATGGGAGGCTTGTGTGGGACCCCTGAGTAGGGGATCAAGGGCCAGAGCCCCTGGCTAAGCAGCACCCTGCACCAACCAGCCCCCTCAGGAACTCCGTGGGGCTGGGCAGGGCTCTCTGGAGGCTGCCAATGCCCTGCTGGGCTTCCTCACTGCTCCCCAGGCAGCCCCCAGACCTCAATGGTGACATCCCAGCTGGCCCATCCCGCAGAGCCACCCGCAGCTCCTGTGACAGCCAGCCCCTGCTCCGCAGTGCCCGCAGCCTTCATGTCCCCCACAGCCACTCAGTGAGGCACCGACGGCCCGACACCACACCCAGCTCTGTCCCCCAGCTGCCGGTGAGAGTGGGGGGCCTGGGTGTGCAGTCATCCTGCCCACGGCAGGGTGAGGATGCACAGACCACCCACCCACTGCTGTCCTCTCTTGCAGAAGCTCCCTCCTGCCTCCAGCCGCCCCAGCTACCCAGGGTGCCCACAGTGCTGCCCTGGGCCAGCTGATGCCACCACGTTCCAGGTACAGCCCCAGGGGTCTCTTTGGACGGGGTGGCACGGGGGTGGCACAGCCACCTTGACCGCTCTGCTCACCCCCAGGTGCTGCCAGTGCCCCCCGTGCCACAGCCAGTCCCCGCCGAGGGAAGTGCTGGTCTTCTGCCACCTGGACAGGAGCACATGGCTGTGCCTGGCTCCCGTCAGCCCCACGGGCACCCCCAGCCCCACCAGAGGAAGAGGTGAGAGCCATTCCTTGGGCATCAGCTGCAGCTCAGGAATTCCCTGGAGTTTCGGGGGGTGGTGAGACAGTAGGTGAGGGTTTGTACATCTGTCCTCATGGCAGGAGTCACGGCAGGAGCAGGAGCTTGTCTCAGCAGCACCCACTGCACCGGGAGCTGCCAGGCCCCGAGCGCATTCCCAGCCCCGAGGGAAGGGTCATCCCTTCAGCACCACCGTGGCCAGGACTGCCAGAGCCCAGAGGTGAGCAGGGCAGTGGTGGCAGGGCCTTGGATGGGCACCCGTCCCTGCACAGCCACCCACACGTGGGGCTGTGGGCTGATCCTGGGGGAGATGGAGACCTGACCCTGCTGCTCCCCGCTGGCAGCTGCCGGCACTGTCCCTCTCCTCCAGTGGGAAGAGGCGCTGGACTGGCTGGCAGAGCAGATCTGAGCTGCCACAGGCACACCATGGATGGGGCCAACATCAGGGATCTGGCACAGCTTGGGGGGACAACCACAGCCCTTGGGGACATGGGATCTTGGACTGCAAGGACTGCGCAAACCATGGCACAGACGGTTGGATGGATGGATGGACAGACAGAGTTCTCCAGCCTGCATGGCTCTCACAGTTTATTTCTGTCTAGCTTAGGCTGTGTTGCTGGTGGCTCCAGGGATCCCATCAGGTGCTCTCTGTGGGCTGGGGGCAGTCCAGCCAGTACTGGGCGATGGAGCGGGGATAGCGTGGCCGCACCAGGTCCACGCGCTTGGTGCGCAGGTTGACACGGTAGTACTTGTCTGGGGGAAGGGGACACGGCCATCAGGACTGTCCCCAGCTCTGGAGAGCTGCCAGCCCTCACTGCCAGCACCTTCCCACTGCATCCCAGAGCCCTGGGACATTGCAGGGAGAGAGGAGCCCTTCCCATGCCCCAGCAGCCCTGGTCCTGCATTTTTCCCAGATCCTGCGCTCACCTCCTACAAAGAAGTAGACACTCTGGAGCATCTCACACGTGGAGCCCGACAGCCCATCGCTTTCAACACCTGATGAGTCGGGGTCATTTTGCAGCCAGCTCCAGAATCCCAAGTTCAGTGACCTGTGGTGGTTGTACCTCTTGCGCTGGCGGCGAGACTTCCTCCTCCGGGGCTGGTGGGAGGCCACGTAGAGCCGGCCGGCCATGGCAGCGTCCAGCCGGCTGGGCACCCCCCGCCAGTCCCGGCTGATGTACCACGGGCCATTGGCCCCGGCTGCAAAGGGAGCAGAGGGTGAGTGAGAGGGGCAGCAGCGTGTGGGGTGAGCTGAGCCCACCCCTACAGACAGCATCCAGCACCTGCTCCAAGACCCACAGGAATGCTCTGAAGGATCCCAGCCTGGATGGATGTGTCACAGTGACAAAGGCCAGGGAGAACCAGGAGCAGCACCCCCGCCTTGTTTGGGATCAGCCTTGTGCTGCTGAGCCCCCTTCTCTGCTTCTCTTTCATTCCCCCTGCCCAGGGCTAGGGTTTTCCTGAGGCATCTCCAGCTCCAGTGATAATAAACAGTCCCCAGCAGTGACACTGTGGTGTGAGGTGGCTGGTGATGGGTTTGATAATGTAATTGGTAATTTTGTAATTGGTAAATTTGATAATTTTGAGGCATAAAGGGCTTTGAGGGTGGGATTTGGGATGCTGTGGGAGGTGCAGCTATGGCCTAGGGGGTTCCTGTGCATGGCCTGGGCAGGATGTGATGATTCATTCAGGCATTGCTCCCTCCTCCCTGGGTGTCTGCATGCCTTGTGCCCTGTCAGTCCCACTGTTGGGACTTGCCAGCCCTTTTCCCTGGGGTTAGCCCAGCCCTTACGCATTCTGCTGCCAAAGAGGAGCTGGAAAACATCCTCCCAGCTGTCCCTGTTCATGAAGGCGTAGTGCTTGAACACCGTGGAGGGGGAGGACTTCTCACAGTCGGCCTGCGTGGGCTGCTGGGCAAAGTCGTAGGACCAGTAGTACTTGTCTAGGAGAGGATGAACAGGGAGTGAGTGGGCGACAAGCACTGGAGGGGTGTCCAGCCTGTGCCCAGTGGTGCCAGGCTCTGCCAGCAGCAGGAGGGCTGCCCCCCTTACCCTTGAAGAAATAGACTCTCTCATTGCCGTGGTAGTTGTGGGCAGGGAGGGCGAACGCTGCATCCACGTTGTTGGGGATGCCCTCAAAGCCGTCGGAGATGTTCCGTGGGTACCCAGGGTCCAGGGCTCCATCATCAAAGCGCCAGTACTGGGTGCCCTGGGGGGTGGGGGACAGAGAGGGGTTACAGGTGCAACATCCCCCAGCCATGGGTCTGCCAGGAGGAGCGAGTGGATGCTGGGGAGCCTCATCATGAGGCTGTGGTTGCTTGGGGTCCCAGAACAACCATAGGGATTTGGGGTATCTGACAACCACTCTGTGTGTGTGCATGGGAGGTGCCAGAAGGGGATATAGGGTGGGTTGAGGTGCTGTGCTGGCCACCCTGGTGGTGGCCCCAGCCCTCCAGCCCACCTTGAAGAGGTAAGTCTTGCCCTGGCAGTTGATGCGTGTGAAGGCTGCATCGATGGGGCCCTCGATGCCCCAGACCTCACTGATGAGTTTGGGGTAGCCAGGCCTCACACTGGTCTTGTCCAGCTCATAGAAGTACTTCCCTGGGGAGAGAGGAGAGGTAGGGGCAGCAGGAGAGACTGCAGACACCAGCTCAGGGTGACAGCATGGCAGCTTGTCCCACATGCCTGGGGAAGGTCCCCAAAGTACCTCGGAAAGCGTAAAGGGAACCGTTCTTCAGGTCGGTGAAGGCATCAAAAGGTTTTCCACTGCACAGCTCCTCAGGCTCCTCGGACCAAACTGGGGTGGTGGCAGACACCACTGGCAGTGACTCCTCAGTGTTTGGCTTGCTCTCTGGCGTGGTGTCCACCAGCACTGGGGATGTGGGCAGCTCTGTGCGGTCTGCCACAGGCGCCTCATCCGTGACGAGCTCTACAGTGAGGTTGTAGTCCAGGTAGTCGTCCTCCGGCAAGGCAAAGACATCTCCCCGGGTCACTGCAGGAGGGAGCAGCTTGGTTCCCACTGGGTTTGGGTGCAGAAGGTGCTCCCTCCCAGGCAATAGAAATTTATAGAATCATGGAATTATTAAGGTTGGAAAAGCCCTCTAAGATCATCAAGTCCAATTTAACCCAGCACTGCCAACCATGTCCCCAGGCACCACAAGTACACTCTTTTTAGAACACTTCCAGGGATAGGTGATTCCACCTGGGCAGCCTATTCCGATGCCTGAATACCCTTTCAGTGAAGACATTTTCCTGCTATCCAATCTATCCAATTAGCATGGATCCCACACTCCAGATGGCGATTAGCCAGCTCCCAAAAACCCCATGAGCTGCAGCAAATCCTGGTGCTGACTTCACCCCGCAGACACAGGTGGGTGCAGAGCTGACCGGCACAGACCCCACAGTGTGGAGCACCCACAGCCACCCCTGTGCCCTGGCCAGGAGGGTGGCCATGGGGACAGTACCTTTGGCTTTGCAGACAGTGGAGTAGTCACTGCAGCAGCTCTGGTAGTACACACAGAGGGTGTCACACTGGCACTTGTGCCCTGCATCGAAGCCTTCTTCACATCGGCCCTCACAGGAGTCTGCAAAAGCCACCCCACAGCTCAGGAGGAGTAATGTGGAGTGGGGCAGTGGGGCCCATGCCTCCCCTCCAGCCCAGCCCCATGAGTGAAAACAAATTTGGAGGTGTCCTGGTTGGGGGTACTCCACCTCTTCATGGTCAACTCCATCACTAGGGGCTACAGCTGCTCCTTGCCCTGCTCCCACTCAGGTCCTGCTAGGATGGGAGCCATGGATTGGGCTGTGCCATGGTCCCAGTTCCATGCTAGCAGCCCAGCTGTGGCATGAGCAGGGATTTTCCAGGGCACCATTGACACCCGTGTGCTGCCCACTTGCTTTCTCTCCATCCTGCAGGGTACAGCCAATGTGGCCACGGCCACCATCCACTCCCTCCCCACCCTGCCCGGGCTGCCCAGCCCCTCCATCAGCCCAGGAGCAGCTCTTGCTCCATCCCCAAAGCACCTAGCAAGGAGCTGGTGGGCTAAAGCTCACCTTCTGCAGCTTGGGTGGTGGCGAGCAGGGCCAGCACGAGGGCAGGGAAGAGCAGCCTCATGCTGGGTGTCCGGGAGCGCAGCCCTCCTGCGACTGTGCGAGCACAGCAGAGCCCCAGCATCCACTGTTTGCTCAGCCTGCCCCGGCGGGAGAAAGCAAACAGCCCAAGGTCAGAAGAGGGGAAAAGGGGCAGAGATGATCTCCCACCCAGCCTCCTCCGCAGTCCACACTGAACTGGGTGTGT